CCCCTCCCCCTAGGGTGTGCCTTATTTTTGAGTTTTGCGAAAATCAAGTTGGTCAACCCCTAAAAAGTTTCTATGTAGTCTCTAAATGAACCCCCTAAAAGGAAAACATTTTAAAAAAATTTTAACCCGTGCCTCAAAGGGCCTAAAGGGCCTAAACCCAAAATTCAAAAATTTTGGCAAGCGACACATCAATTCTGAGGGAAAATGGCAAGTTACGGTCCTTTCAGAGCAGAAATTTCGTCCGTTTTGCCGTATCTTGAAGCGTAAGGTCACAAACGGCCCAATGACGAATTGACGACGTGAGGCTATGGGCTGGCGGGGCGCGCCGCGGCCGGCCCGCCGCTGAGCGTGCGCGCGCGGCAGGGTTGCGTATCGCCGCGCCGCTTTACAACGGCGTAGAGGAACGAACGGTGGGGTGGGAGGGGGATATCCAGTGGAAAAGCATCCACATTTTCTATCCATATTGAAAATGCATTATACTTTTTCAATATAGATGAGGAAATATGAGCCATACAAGGAAGTGATGAAAAGAGTGACAAATACATATATAGTTTGTACGGTTAGGAGTGTAAGTGGGGAAAATTTGCCATAACTACAGAACAGCCCTGAAAATCTCCGGGAAATAAAAGCTGCTATTGATGAGAGGTTTGCATGAGAGGTTTAATTAAGGACTCATTAAAAAGATAGGTGCGATGTTGTCGAATCGTAAGCCCTTTACGCGATCAAAAGCGATTAGTATAAATTTAATTGGAAAAGTTTAAGAAAAATTTGATGAAAGAAAATTGCCCCAAATTCGGGAAGTGCTTAAAGTGTTTTTCTATTATGTGAAGTTTTCGCACATTAATGTCAATGGCGGTGCGTCAAAAACCTCTGATCTTGTAATTCCAATATGGAATGAAAAATGTAGAATCCCTGTGATACATAGTGTCCATGTTTTTAAAAATGTTTACATTTTTATGAGGAGTGGAGGCGCGTATCAAAAAATGCTAGCCGTCGATCGCTGGTTCAAGAGAATTTGGAGACTGATTTTTCGGCAAAAATCGACGTGTTATTCGACATTGCTTTATGCAATACTCTAGATATCATGGAAAATGAAGAGGATAAAGCATGTTTAATTCTTCAACGAAAAACCTGGATGAGAATGCATAATATCCACAGTGAAGGATACTATCCTTGCAGCAGAGGTGAGGAGAGCAGACAAGAAGAAAGCTCGTGCCCAGGAGAGAGTTTCTCGATAGGAAAAATTCACGCTCGCTAATGAGTCCCACCAAACGGAAGAAAATAGGTTTTTTCATTTCATATGAAATTACTGAAGGTTTGATACATCAATAAGACTTTGTTTACCCTCCTTTTCATTGGTATATTTGACGCGGCATCAATTAGAAAGTTTTATTCAATCGGTTCAATCTGGCTTCGCCAACTTACAGCTGATGTTGATTGCCTGGCCTCACCCACGGGGCTAAATGACACATTAGCCTCATTTACTCAAATCTTCCCCAGTAGCCGAGTGGTCAAGGGCATTGCCCACGGTTATAAAGAGTGGGGTTCAAACCCCAAATTAAATCATATTTTTTCGAGAAACTAATATTACATTTTTGATTATAGCAAGTAACTGTGGCGGGGGGGGGGGGGTTCAGTACCAGAAAATGTAAGTGGGTAAGCCATATTGAACCTCTCGAATTAAACTTTCTAATTGATGTCACGTTAAATGCACTAATGAAAAGGTGGGTGGATGAAACATAGACACTATGTATCACAGCGATTCTACATTTTTCATTCCATATTGGAATTACTGCCATTGACATTCATGTGCGAACACTTCACATGATAGAAAAACACTTTAAGCACTTCCCGAATTTGGGGCAATTTTCTTTCATCAAATTTTTCTTAAACTTTTCCAATTAAATTTATACTAATCGCTTTTGATCGCGTAAAGGGCTTACGATTCGACAACATCGCACCTATCTTTTTAATGAGTCCTTAATTAAACCTCTCATGCAAACCTCTCATCAATAGCAGCTTTTATTTCCCGGAGATTTTCAGGGCTGTTCTGTAGTTATGGCAAATTTTCCCCACTTACACTCCTAACCGTACAAACTATATATGTATTTGTCACTCTTTTCATCACTTCCTTGTATGGCTCATATTTCCTCATCTATATTGAAAAAGTATAATGCATTTTCAATATGGATAGAAAATGTGGATGCTTTTCCACTGGATATCCCCCTCCCACCCCACCGTTCGTTCCTCTACGCCGTTGTAAAGCGGCGCGGCGATACGCAACCCTGCCGCGCGCGCACGCTCAGCGGCGGGCCGGCCGCGGCGCGCCCCGCCAGCCCATAGCCTCACGTCGTCAATTCGTCATTGGGCCGTTTGTGACCTTACGCTTCAAGATACGGCAAAACGGACGAAATTTCTGCACTAAAAGGACCGTAACTTGCCATTTTCCTTCAGAATTGATGTGTCGCTTGCCAAAATTTTTGAATTTTGGGTTTAGGCCCTTTAGGCCCTTTGAGGCACGGGTTAAAATTTTTTTAAAATGTTTTCCTTTTAGGGGGTTCATTTAGAGACTACATAGAAACTTTTTAGGGGTTGACCAACTTGATTTTCGCAAAACTCAAAAATAAGGCACACCCTACCTCCCCCTCTCGCCACCACCTTCCGTTTACGGGGTAGCCAGGCTACGTGATGAAGTTCAAGTGTGAAACATTGAATTATACGGAGAAAAAAGCTGATTTTAACATGATCTGACAACCCCGTTGCAAGTTCCTCACGAGCCCCTCGCTCGGCCGTCTAGCGGACTGCGTTGCTAAGTAAAAACGCCGTACGAGCCTTCGAATGTTGCCAAATCTCTTCTCAGAAAATATTAATTTATGAAGAAAGTTATGAAAATTTTCCCTTGAAAATTTCAGACTTTTCAGATCGAATAACGAACAAAACCCTGTGAGAAATCGGGAGAGAATAATTCAAAAATTTTCCTGATAATTCGTGATTTGTCGAATGAAATTTGGCGACGCTTAATGGCTCATACGACGTTTTTACCCAGGACGGCAGCGGACGCTTTGCAACTACGTCTGTGGCCCGGCGGCCTCAAGACTCAAGAGCGAAAATGTTCCTTTTATTTTGCATATAATTACACACGCTGTATTTACATTGATTCGACGACTCGACAAATAGACTCTAAGTACGATAATAAATATCTGGTCGGACATGATGGCGAGGCAGAAGTATGCTGAGAAAATGAGTGCGGACGATCCTTGCCCGACATGCTGCAGGGTGCAATACAGAGGCATTCATGCTTTGCCCCCGTCCTGCCGTGCAATGGAAAAACGCCGTATGAACATTCGAAAGTTGTCAAATTTCCCCGGATAAAATATATATTTTTGAGGAGAGTTGTGCATATTTTTTCTTGTAATTTTCGGATATTTTAGATTGAATCGTGAACAAAATTTACTGAAAAACTTGAGGGAAAATATTCACAATTTTCTCCGAAAATTCTGTTTTTCTTGAAGGAAATATGGCAACGTCTGAAGGCTCATACGTCCTTTTTCCTTAGCACAGCAGCGTAGCCCCGTCACTTCGCGTGCATTTAGTGTCAGTCGCATGCACAACCATCAACACCTCGCCAGACTTCCCGCGCTGCTTCCAAGATTGCTGACAATGAGATCTCACTAGAGTATCTATAAAGGGAGAGTATTGCCTTTTCTTTGCTGTTCTCTAATTGGTTCTCCCGTTTTAGGCTTTCGTGAGGCTGTAACTTCCATTTGTAAAGAAACCTAATCAGTGGGCTGATTGTTGAAATTGATAGACAAAGCTATGGACAGAGAAGATCTAGGGAGTATGGAGCGATCCTGATGGTTGAAACAGGTGGTTGCCATAGACTGAAGGGGAAAATAATGGACTAACTACAGTTAGTCGATTACTTCCCTCCTTTGCGACCACCTGCTTTCACCAATAGACTCGCTTCATGCTCATAATGTCTTCTTTGTCTATCGCTTTGTCTATCGAATACAATAGCCAGAAGCGGGCTGCCTGTTCATATTTGTGGACAAAGCGATAGACAAAGGAGACAGAAAGGGTATGAAGGGATCCTATTGGTGGAACTGGGTGGTTGCAATGGACAAAGGAGGTAGATATGAGACTAACTAACGACAACCCAGGAGAGACCCTCTAGTGAGTCCATCATTTTCTCCCTTAGTCTGTAAGAACCCCCCCCCCCCTTNCCCATTTTAACCAATAGCAACAATCCATACTCATTATGTCTTCTTTGTCTATAGCTTTGTCTATCAATTTCAACAATCAGCCCACAGTGACAACATATTTTGGAGACCCCACACTGATAATCTAGAGGCAATGTAACCTAGAAGGGACTTCTAGCGGGGGAGTAGAAAGGGAACCGGATTAAAGGGGGTCTATAGGGGGCTCTGAAAAACACTTCGTCAAGGGGAGTATGTGCGGTTCGGGGGAGTTCCCTAGCCTCAAAGCGGGACTCAAGGGGGCTCTCCAGAAAATTTTAAAAAATTGAGTAGTCTCATGAGCATTTATGAGCTGTTTTTACCAACAACTTTGTTCAGGACTTATTTGAACAGATGTTGGTTAAACATTTTTAATCATGTCTTGAATTCTGTTGCGATATTGTTTGTTTACATTGAGACAATAAGAGCTGCATGCAAGGTTGCCAGGTTGTACTAATAAATGTATATGTTTATATGGATTATAATGGGGAATAGTGCTGATTTTAGCACAATTTGACAACAATGGTCTCATGAAAGCCTAAAAAATCGCAGACCTAGGCGAGAGCGGAAGTTTTTTTCATATAAATAGGATCAAAATGGAGATACTCTCCTCATGAAGGTAGTCTTCGCTTGTATACTACAAAGAAATCAAGCGTTTGTTTGATTTTTTGATAAAACACTGATCAGCAGGTCAAACTTGGTCATCGACTTGACTCACAATCAGCGCAAAATCAAGTGGGGGAAGTTTAGCGAAAGGAAACCAACTTTCATGGAAGATAAAAAATGTATTTTTTTAAGTAAAGCAAATTAGCATTCTCTATTATTGATTGATCAATTTCGTGATGATAATTTTTGAAAGTGATGGATTGCATGTAACCACCGAGTAATTGATACCCAATCCACCGTACTTGAATGCATTGTGTGTATGTACCGTGTAAGTTCATGGGTGATGTTCATTCGGCTGCAAACAAAAAAAACAAAAGCAAACGGTCGAAATGAGCTGCCAAAAAAAGGGAAAAATGTAGGTCTAATTGTTAAGAAAGAAAGAAAATAAAATTGGTACCTTGATTTTGAAGCCATATTAAAAACTGCGGGAAGATTAAGCAGTGCATGTAGGTACACACAAAAGCAAAAACCCTCGTACAATCAAACAGATCAATAATCAGAGGGAGGTTAACTTTCAAAAAAAATGTACCGTATGTTTTGGTGAAAATATGTGTCGATAAATCTGCTTATTTAAAAAAGACTACCTCCCGTTAAAATTAAGCACACGCCAAATCATTTTCTGTATAATTTGTATATTACTTAATTTATTTTTAAACTCATAGTAAAATAATACATTCATTTGGAAGGCAAATTAGATAGAATTTTTATAATGGAGCTCTGGCATGTGTCAGGAATTTGCAATTTAAGTACTGAGTCTCTGTACAATTTCGTGAGAAATACGATGGTGCCACTAGTTTTCTCTGAAATAAACTTCAAAGCTCAAAGAAAGCTCTTAAAGTTGAGGCCGTGATGGCGGATATATCTTAAGAGTACACCGGTAAATCGAGTTACAGAGATGGAGCTGAAGTCCCTACAGGAAACAGGGCAGTGGTGTCTGGTGCTTCGATATGTATCGATATTTCACCATTTGAAGCTATGGTAAAGAATCGATTAGTAATTAAGGCGTTCGTTGCGGACACCCTGTTTATCGATTCTTTTCCACAGGTTTAAAGGGCACATCAATCGATATATATCGCAAAGCACGCCACGCCACTAGTACAGGGAGGAGCAAGTTGGAGGGATTCTCGGCGGGCGAGGTTTTGGAGAGATTATCCATCATGCTTCAATTTCAACTGCGAAACTGAGTTTTCCGGACGTCAGCCAAGTATGGTCACGGTTCAGTTCACGGATGGAAGACGTAAGCGCTTGCTGAAAGACTTGGACTTGGACCGTGCCAAAGTTTCAAAACAACAGGATGTGAAGGGGGACCAGGAGAGTACGAGAGAGATCGAAAAAAAGAGAGGAGGGATCGGATCGATGTGCATGCATGATACGTGTGAATGAGATCCGAAAAAGGAAAGAGAGCGAAGGAAAAAGAGACAGAGATGCGAGGATACGATGATACCGTTGGCCACTCCACTTTGAAATAGGAGTCATACACGGTTGAACCATCTACTTAATAGTCTTGTCTTTGTGCCTCATCTTTGAGCACCAGCAACACCTCAACAACGGCCTCCCGCCCTTCGGCCCTGCTCCTCGCCCACGAATTACACCATTTTTTCGCGAATGTCCCTTAAATTGGACGTATTTATGCTAGATGGAACTATGAGGGATTAAAGATGGGGTGTGCTCGTTAGTTGAGGGCCATAAGAATGAATGAGGATTTCAAAGCGCCAGTGACGTCAGCGGCAATGAAGCCTTTCCCGTCGTCGTTCTCGCTCGTCTTTAACTCATGAGCCCTGTCCATAACGCTCTTGTCACACGTTCACGGCTCACGAGTTAGCGCTCAGTTCCTTTTGATTTAATGTCAAATCCCGCTTTTCCATTTTCTCAAAAGGAACTATATCTGCTTTTGCATTGTTTCTCATGCAGCTTGCACGAGCACACGCCATCTTTTTACTCCCACATAGTTCCATTTAGCATAAATTCGTCCAATTGAACGCGTCTATTCCGAAAAAATTCAGGTTACCTAGGGTTTCCACTACAGATGGATTAATTAAGTACAATTACATGGCGTTAAAAAAAAGTTGACGAATGCGTGACAGCTCGTAGTGTCTGTATAGTGGAAAATAATTGTGGGGCATTTACAAACCTTTCCGTTTTTAATGTTATGGTGAAAATTAGGAGGAAAAACGAATTATTCTCCCGTTTGAAAAATGACATCACAGTTCATCGGAAATTTTGACGAAACTCAAAAGTCTCTTTGCCCTGATACATTTATGTTATTCCCTTAAATTGACTATCTGCATTAAGGGGACGATCCTACCTCCTAGCCAGAATATCTCTCCCAAACATTAATCTACGATATTAGCATATTACATTTGCATGCACCAATATGTAAAATTGATCATAAATAATAATTAATGAGTGATGAATGAATAAAAATATATTCCCAAAATGCGCGGCACCAACTTTGATATTAAAGACTAATTAGAGATAGATTAGATAATAGAGATTAGATTAAAGAGACTAAAAGAAGCATCAAGAGAACTGATACGGTAGTGGTACATGTCTTCATTCGACGTATGCACCCTGATAGAAATACAAGTTGGTTAGGCATTCTTGTTTGGAGACATTCAGCAAGTGATCCTGTTAATTTTTTTAACAGAATGCGTATGAAAGTGTATATAACATTTAGATTTTTAACTTAACGGATGTAAAAGTTTAAAATTTTAGTCGCAACACGCGGATCATCAGAAATAAGTGGGTTTGTGTCTTTGTTGATTACTATCAACGGGGTATATAAAATAGTTAGTTAGTTAATTTTATTTAACGACGATCAGCATCTTATGTGTGCACATAGCAAGCTACAGATATAAATATAGGTAAATAAAGCACTCATATATAGGTAATAAAGCACTCATTTAAGCACTCATTTAAGCACTCATTTTACTCATTTATAAAGCACTCATTTTATATATTTTTCACCTTTAAATTGGTCATTTTAATTGTGATAGTGATTCTCGTAGGAAAAGTTAAATTGTATATTTAGACCTGGACGTTGGCCTTTGCGTTTAGGGTTTCGCTTAGGGTCTTTATCTGGGCCTGGATCTGCCGTCTCATTCTTATTTTCGGAGTAAGTTTCAGTAGCCATATGGGCTACTACAGCAAGCACAAAACCAACCGCCAATCCTAGGAGCACATCCGAATGAGTGGAATTCATTGTGCAGCGAATTTTACCTTGGAAAAGAAAAAAATTGCAAAATCCTCTTAAGGGTTAATTTTCAACACATGTTTTAAAATAGTTTCTTAATAAATTGATTTTATTTGTTAGAAGAACTGCTGAAAGTTTCCATCTATCTACGGAGCAAATACGCGCTAGATCTAATCACTCAAGAGTGATTAGATCTAATAGCTTGTTATCAATTGTTACCATCAATGAAATCTGTTACTTTGTTTGAAATTTAAATTATGGCCTTTGTGATATCGATTTTGTGACCCTGACGATGAAGCGTTTGCTTTGAAAAGCTTCGGTCTAAGTTTGTTATTAAAATGTAAGTTTTTTAAAGAAATTATACATTATTTCTAGCACTCGGCTACACTCCAAATTCCAAAATATTCAGTGCTACTACCTTCAGACATTGCATTACAATGTTCGCTGATTTCAATATTCTTTGACAACTCTGGAGAAAGACTTTCATCAATTTCTTCAAAAATTCATGATTTGTCAAAGAAAGTTCGGCAACGTCTGGAGGCTCATACATTGTTCTTTTTTAACACACCACGTCAGTGTTCCTCGCCTGAAAATCTTGAGTCTCAACTTTCAGCGGAGCGACGGTTTAAATACATTTTTATTAATTTTTTTTTCTTTTTTACCTTTATTTTCACTCTCTACAAGATCTGAACCCGCTTATCAAGAAAAGCCATTTTCGTGATTTTTCAGAATTTTTCACGTTGAAGAGACGGAGCATGGAATTTCTAGCAGCGATGCGGAATTATGTCCACGAATCAAGTCGCGTTTTTCATGGGGTGAAGAAGTCAGGGCACGCCAGGACCAGTGGCGTGGCATGCTTTGCGATATATCGATTGATCTGCCATTGAAACCATCTCATGACCATGAACCATGAACCATGGTTCTCATTGAACCATGAACCATGGTTCTCATTGAACCATGAACCATGGTTCTCATTGAACCATGAACCATGGTTCTCATTGAACCATGATCTGCCATTGGACACAGGGCTATAGCCCTGTGTCCACTCGTCAAAATGGCGCGAAAATAGAAGCTCAAAGTGAATCGTAAAATACGATCTGTTCGCGATTGTGGATCAAAAAAGAGTCGCGCCGCTCTATTTTGAGTTGCAACACTCATCAATCGCATCAGGTCCCGACTTTGAGCCACTTATCGTTGAAATTGATTAACTTTGAGCTTCCTTTTTGACGCCAGTTTGACGAGTGGAGACAGCATTTATGGATAATAATCGATGGACACGGTATTCGCAACCAACACTTTAATAGTCGATTCTTCACCACAGCTTCATATGGGGAAATATCGATGATCGATCATTCACGCCTCGCCTTTGACTCGGACTGGCAGCTCCTGTGTCCAACTTCGCACCACTAAGTGATGGGGAATGCATGAACATGGTGACAATTATGTAACCTTGTGATAAATTTGTTTCGAAAACATAGATAGGGGTACATCTTAGTCAAGTAAGGAATATATTCAGATTAAACCATGGGTCGCATTTTCAGCATTTTAATACATGTCTATTTTAAATTCTAATATATCTAAAGATGGGGATTGAAGATTTAAGAAGTATAATTCTCGGGGTGCAATTGCTATAAGCCTCTCGCTTTTTTCCGTAAAAATGAAGGCCCGGCAATGTCCAGCATGAGCGGTGATGGCCAGATAATGATGATGAACATGAGCCGACGGACCCAAATCAGTCGAGCATATCATCCACCGGGATACCACCCGCCGCGCGCGTCCTATTCGTAATCAAATAAACTTAAGCGTTTAGACCAGGTGAGTCGAGGGTTGAGGGTAACAGGTTAAATAATTCCGAGGCAACAGGTTGAGAAATAATTCAACGTTTCCCGGTTTCTCCCCTTGGCGAGGGGCGAGTGTGATGAATTACCTCGGCCGCAGTTGCCGAGTTTGTCTGTTTTTAATAACTTTTACAGGGTTATAAGCACGCAACAAATAATGTTCCTTGTGTAAGCCGGAAATCGTATATTTTCTAGTCGCGAAATGTCGTTCAATTTCGGTTAAACCAATCTCTTTAGGTAAAAAATGAAAATTGTTCCTCATGAACTCGCATTTTTCAACGTGGAGACACTCTCCATAAATCGAAAAAAAAAACCATCACCCGACGATGGGACCGAAAGAGTGGTGAGTGAACCGAAGGCGCACAGTAGATCGAGTCCATAAGAAAGGTCGAACATGAAATTTTGGACTAAAACTGCAAATTTTGACGTTTATTTCGTCACATCTTAAATTTCAAGGGGTGCCTGCAGTTGGAAATTCCACGAGGAAACCAATGGAACAACTATTAGACCTCGGAGTTTCGTATAAACGGAGTTCACTGGGGGGGAAAAAATCGCTTGGATCTAGAGTACAGATTGTTAAAAACACTGACAAGAAAAATACTCTTGATTCTATCGGACTTTTTGCTTGATTCAAAAGGAAAGCCGCCCAAATCAAAAAGCTCGACTCTTCGATTCAAGGAAAAATCCGACTGAATCAAGAGTACTTTTTCTTGTCAATGTTATTAATAGACCGGACTCTAGAACCAAGCGACTTTTTTTCCAGTGAGCGTTATAAGTTTCCGAATTTCGTCCGATCTCTCCATTGGCGGGTCCAGCAAATTGGCAACATGGTCTTTTCTCCATTTAAACCTATGGAAATGTATCGAATCTTAGAGGGGCCAGGTGCTCCGAGAAGAATCGATTATTTGGCATAGGTTTAGATGGAGAAAATCCGGTGTTGCCAAATTGCTGGATCCGCCTCTAGATCTCTCCTATTGACTCGGTCCACTGTGGGGCGGGCCGAAAAAACCGAATCGGGCAAGATTAGACCGAATTAAAAGGAGCATACAGAGGGGACAGAGGGGCCCGGAAGGGAAGGGGAGGGATAGGGGTCCGGAGCGCGAGGCCCCGAGTGTAATGAAAACCCGAGCTCCCCCCCCCCCCGGTGGCCCGGGGAGGATGGCCGGATGCGGTGAAAGACCTTGATCCCGTCGAGTCCAGCCCCGTGTTGCCGTCCCCCAGCGGTGAGGCGCGAATGATCGATCATCGATATTTCCCCCATTTGAAGCCATGGTGAAGAATCGATTCGTTGTGGACACCCTGTTAATCGATAAATTTCCATGGCTTGAAATGGCAGATGAATCAATATCTCGCACAGCCCGGGGGTCTCGGCCAAATTCACGGGAGCAGCAACGCCGTGCTCCAGGATCCAGAATCACCGCCGCGGTGTTGTCACGTTGCCTTAAAACGAGAATTTGTCCCGTTCCGCACGGCCGTGGATCGTGTTTGATACATCGAACAGGTGGGATAGTATAGAGTCCCTTTATACTGAGAGTCAAGACAACACCCCTCATGGAGTCACATACGGGAATAAAGATTACAGAAATTGAACGTTCTTTTTAATCTTTGATCGGCCCATTCTTAAATTCCTTTCTCCGTCCCTTCTCTCATTCCGTTTGTCCCTTGCCGAACCCGTAATTCCCTGGTCCATTCCAGATTATAATCTTTGCAATCGGTGAAAATGTAATCTTTATTCCCGTTTGTGACACTGTGAAGGCCTAAAATACGGGAACCAATCAGAAATGGATTCACATTGTCTTGACTCTCAGTATAAAGGGACTCTAGGATAGTATCAATATCGAGTGGTTCAACTTGTGAGTAATCTGCGGGAACGGGTTTTTTGTGGTGGATTTTTTATTCTAATGAGTCCAAAATGGCGATGAAAGGTGAAATTGTTGGGGATTTTCTCATTTTCGGCTTGTTCAGCATAAATCCTAAAATTTGTGTTGAGGTTATGTTCTGTTGTTTTGAATCAAACGATACATCGAGCGACTATCGAATACGGTCCGTTGTGCGAAATCACGCACGTACCTAAGTTCGTCGTTCCTCGGACGAAGTAACGTATAGCCTCATGCCAAAGTTGTGGAATTGATTCGAACAGTGCAATTTTTGCAATGTGCTTGTGCAAAGTTTTCACCAAGTTATGGTTATTTAATGAGATCGGAAGAAAAACAGGGAAATTTGTTATTAGGAATGCCATAAATATTTGTCATCCCCTGCGGTTTCAAATTTAGAACTCATCTTGAATCCTACTCAAGGCTCCAATAAATTCCTCGTGTCCTGGACAAGGAAACGTAACTCCATTCCAAGGTTGCAAAATTCTCAATTTCAAACAATTCAATTTTTTACAGGGACATACCGTCCTATTTTCTTTCATTTTTGCATGAGATTAAGAGGAGCATCATTGAAATTTTCAGTTAAGAAGCCCAAAAATCTCCTAGTAAAAATGTAATTTGCGAAAAGAAATTTGGCAGCGTGGAAACGTAGAACGTCTTATCGTGAGGGAGACGAAAAATTGGGATGTTTCACACCTTTCGCTCCGATTTTATTTTTTCAAAGAGGGACGAGCCACCTTGATAGAGTGAAATGTATACAGAATATTCTTCCTAGAGAGATAGATAATCACGGGAGTTTTTGATGAATTACGTTTAACTAGTTTTCTAAGAAAAAATAAAGTATGACAGGAAGTCTACAACGTCGCAAACGATGATACGCGGTTTGGCCTTTAGGCAATGAATATATTTTAGATTCTCCGCACTGATGTCCCCTATGGTGTAAAAGTGCCTTTTGGAAGTCATCAGATTCGCGCAATGATGACTTGTGACAAAAAAGTTGGGCAACGGACCACTAGAAAAGGCACCAGAAGCATTTTGATTTGTGCCATCTCTTTAAAATTTCACGTAGAACACGATTCTATAACGAAGTATAACGACGTACAACTATGCTCGTTAAGCATGACTTAAAAATTAAATTCGTGAACAGATATGAAAAGTTAACGCGGTGTAGAAAAGTAAACTATATAGCCAGATCCACAAGAATCCTTGAAGTTTGCTAATTTTGCCATTAAATCCAAATTATCTATGATGGATCAAGTGGGTGGGGGATTAAGGAACACAGCTTGCTATTAAACATGAGATTTTAACCAAACATTTATCTAGGAAAAAAGGCGGAACCAGGTTCAAAATTTGCCCTAATCAACGAATTCAGGTACGAGTGATAGAATTTTAATAGTTTAATATTTGGTGTTATTTTTACAAATAAAATAAAAATAAATTTAGGCTGA